ATCTTTTGCCTTAGCTTTCAGTACTTTCAGTACTTTGATTACATAGCTTTTGGCATAGGCTAAAAGCGCTCATAAGACCAGAAAGTTAGTGACGTCATAAAAAAATGGGATAACCTGATTTACCCCAGAACGGTTTGAGCTAGCAGTATATAAGCGAGGCTTCATCTCATTCTGGGAGAGAATTATGATGCTGACAGAAGATCACGGCGAGATACAACAACGTTAAGGTATATACAAAGGCTGGATAAGTCTTTGTGTGGAAGGACTGCATACATCTTTCATAGCGTGGTAGTTGTTGGTCGTTGAATAAGTGACCAGTGGTCGTGAGGCAGTAGGTTAGGGTGATAAGCGGTTGTAAGGCCTGTGCACGGTGTAGCTATTACGCTGTGTAAGCCGGTGCGCAGCGCTGGATAAGCCGGTGCGCAAGGTTGTCACTGCGCTGTACAAGTGCCGGGAGCACTTGTAATAGTCGTGTGCTAGTTGTTAGTGCCGTGCGCCGCGCTGCATAAGTCGGTGCGCTGTAGGTCTTGTCTAGCCCCCTGTTAACGTTAAATATGTATTGTAATTGTGAGTCCCGTGACAAGTAGCACGACACTGTTTATTGTATGCAACTGTATCATAGGTTTGTCGTATTAAAATCCTTTGTAAATAATACTAATGATAGTCTGATTAAGTTTGCTTGGGTCCAATTTATATAGGAAGTCTCTGCGCTACTAAGCAAGTGCGCTTAGGCGAAGCTACCGGAACTGCACAGCATATCCCGAGAGACACTTGGGACGGACCAAATAGGTACCGACCACGGTGCACGTTACAGTATAATTGACATTTTTCACATATCATCTCACAGAAAACAATATGTAACACATGCATCGTACATAAAACTGTTATTTACATCAACATTCTTTAGTTAAGGAGACAATTAGAAGCATATAAATCGAATAAGCACATGCATATCATTATTTTCAGGTAAAACTTGAACCAAGGTGATCATCATAATGGCTGAAGGCGGACATCTTCCGGATCTAGACTTACACTTACTGGAGTGTCCAATCTGTCTTGAGCGACTTCGACAACCAAAGTCCTTACCATGTCTCCACTGCTTCTGTCAGGAGTGCCTGGGGACCTACATCACCAAGGAGTTGTCTGGTAAGATGGCGTCTGGGACATCCTTTCCGTGTCCAATTTGTAGAGGGATGGCCACGCCTGTCAATCAAGCGGAAACCAAGGAAAACTGGTCCAAACAGTTCCCAACTAATGCTGTGATCCAAGAACTGATCAAACTTAAGGAACAGTCGTCTGGACCACTGTACTGTACACCTTGTCAAACAAAAGGAAATCTGTCCAATCCTGCAAAGTTCTGGTGCAAGAAAATCGAATCAGGTTTCTGTGAGATTTGTAAAGTGGATTACCACGATGTTGTACATATTGGATGTGATATATTAGATATTACCAGGCACGACAGCAATAGACCAAAACAGAACCCGACTTTTCCTCACTGTGACCAACACGACGAGAATATGGTTTGGTACTGTGAAGATCACAAACTTCTTGGCAGTAACATATGCGTTTTAGAAGACCACAGACGTTGTGAAGCAGTCACAACAGCGACGAAATACATTCAGAAGCTAAAAGCAGGATCGCAACTGACAGATATGCAGGCAGCACTACAGAAAAGTGCAGAGGTCATGAACTCTTTAGTGAAGGACTTTGACGAACAGCTCCAAGTCATGGTAAAGAACCAAGAAATCGCTCTCCAGAGTATTAAAGATCTGCGCCATAGGGTCGACAAACGGCTTGACGAGCTTCAAAAGAACTGCACAGACATGTTGATTGCATTGTTCAAGGAAGAAAAGAGGAAATTAGACGACTCCTTACGACAATGCGAACGTCTAAAGAACAGTATGCTAAATACCCTGAAGTCGTCCATTAAAGCTACAGAGGGAAACGATAACACTGAAATGATAGTGTTGTATCAGAGAGGACAGGCAGAAGTGGAGTCGTGTAAGGCCCTGGTTACGGAGAAAAGCGAATCTTTTACGTCCGTCAATATTCAGCATCAGACCGAACCAGGACTTGCAACCTTTGGTGATGGCGCTATGGGGAATATCGTCATTGAGGAATCACGACGACCTTTTCCTGATGGTCTTGCTCATCTACCACCAATTTTGGGACGTCGCGTGAGAGAAGTACAACAGTTTGATATAAAAACTACATCAGATAAGAAGGATTGTGATGTATTTGGCGCTGTGTACCTTCCGTATAATCAAATAGTAGTAAGTGATTACAACAACGCAAAGCTGAAGCTGTTTACAGATAAAGGACAATACCTGGATGAGTTGACCATTCAAGGAACTCCACAGGACATGTGTTTTGTGAACGACAACACAGTGGCTGTGGCAGATAGCAGCCCTGGTGGTGTCCATGTCGTGAATGTCGAAAACTCAAAAATATCACTTTCTTCCGTTATCTGTTTGCCAGATTATAAAGACTGCCGTGGTTTAACCCATATCAACGGAAGATTTGTCGTTTGTACAAACAAAGAAGAAGCAGAAGTGTACAGTGTGACACAGGACGGCACCGCTGAGCTGCTACATCAATATAGTGGTAAGTGTTGTTTCCTGTCACATGACCCAACAAATGAAGACATAATGGTCAGCTGTTCCACTGACACTGAGGGGGAAGCTGTGCTGTCCAGACTGTCGACTGACAAACATCTGAAGAGTGTGATGAAAGTTGGTCTCGTGAGAAAGGCTGCTGGTGTTAACGTTGATAGAGAGGGAAACATCTACTTGTGTAGTAGAGATTCAAACAACGTCGTGCAGATGTCTGGGGACGGGACACACATCAGGGAACTGCTGACGTCATCTGACGGAATAAGCAGCCCATTTGCAATAGCTGTGTGTGGTGACATGTTTGTACTCACTGAGGATAATACTAACCACGTCCGCTTGTTTCAGCTCTATTAAGCTAACTACAACTCATCTCAATTATGTACAGATCTATTCACGTATTAGTAATTTTACAAAACTATTCACGATGAACCACTCTGTTAAGAACCAGAAGACCACTCTACCGCGTCATCAAAATCTGATGAAGGGCTACCAAGTTTGTTCAAATGAATGACTTTTATATATATTCAAGGTCACAGGGGTCAAATATGTTAAAAACTTTAAACAACTTCTTCTGAATAACCAAAAGTCGCAGGATGATGATATATGGCCAGGACCACGCTGGGATGAGGGCTACCAAGTTTGTTAAAATGAATGACCTTCATCTATTTTCAAGGTCGCTGGGGTCAATTGTCTTAAAAAATCTTTAAACAATTTCTTCTCAATAACCGAAAATCCTAGGATGATGCTATTTGGCCAGTAGCATGCTGTGATGAAGGGCTACCAAGTTTGTTCAAATGAATGACCTTGACCAACTTTGAAGGTCACAGGGGTCAAATGTCTTAAAATCTTCAAACAACTTCTTCTCAATAACCAAAAGGCCCAGGGTACTGAAATTAGTCCTGTAGCATGCTGTGATAAAGGGCTTCCAAGTATGTTGAAATGAATGACCTTCATCCATTTTCAAGGTCACTTGGGTCAATTGTCTTTAAAAGTCTTTAAACAAATTCTTCTGAATAACTAAGAGACCTAGGATAATGATATTTGGCCAGAAACATGCTAGGATGAAGAGCTACCAAGTTTGTTCAAATGAATGACTTTTATATATATTTAAGGTCACAGGGGTCAAATATGTTAAAAACCTTTAAACAACTTCTTCTCAATAACCGAAAAAACCTAGGATGATGCTATTTGGCCAGTAGCAAGCTGTGATGAAGGGCTAATTAGTTTGTTCAAATGAATGACCTTGACCAACTTTGAAGGTCACAGGGGTCAAATGTCTTAAAATATTCAAACCACTTCTTCATAATAACCAAAAGGCTCAGGGTACTGATATTGGGCCTGTAGCATGCTGGGATAAATGACCTTGAAGCACTATCAAGGTCACTGGGGTCAGATGTCTTAAAATCTTCAAACCACTTCTCAATAACCAAAGACGAAGGGTACTGATATTGGGCCTGTAGCATGCTGTGATGAATGACCTTGACCCACTTTCAACCTAATGTCCTTGTTCGACATTTAAGGACACAGGCTTCATGTTTAAATCTTTTAATAGGTTCTTATGAATCAAACACTGATATTCTGTCTGTAGCTGTATTTTAGTCCACTTTTTAGATTACAAGTGTGAGATTAATACCAGGTGAGCGATGCAGGCCCATTGGGCCTCTTGTTTAACAAACAATTAGCAGATGATGGGCTATTCAAATCGCCATTGGTCCATGGTCTGTTGTCCGTCCTAAAATAATTCTTGTTGCCACTTTTTCTCAAATGGTACCTCATACATTTATCTCAAATTTCATACGAAGGTTTCCCTTTGTAGTTGCGCATGTTTCATTTTGAGACTGATCGGAATAACTGAATCGCCACAAAGCAGCCGTTTTGAAGTAAGATTTGTTTGTCGCTATTTACATCCCATCATCAGATGGTGGGATATTCAAATCAACCTTCGTCCATGGTCCGTGGTCAGTCAGTCCGTCCGTATGTCCGTCGTTTGCCCGGCATCAACTTTTTACTTGAAACAACTTCTTCTCAATGAGCAAGAGGTCTAGGGTTATGATATTTGGCCAGTAGCATGCAGGGATGAATGCCTACCAAGTTTGTTCAAATGAATGACCTTTACCTATATTCAAGGTCACAGGGGTCAAATATGTCAAAATATTTAAACAACTTCATCTAAATACTCGGATGGTCCAGGATGATGATATTTGGCCTGTTACATACTGGGATGAAGGGCGACCTAATTTGTCCAAATGAATGACCTTGATATATATTCAAGGTCACAGTAGTCAAATATGTTAAAAACCTGTAAACGACTTCTTCTGAAGAATCAAAAGGTCTAGGATGTTGATATTTGATTGGGGACATGCTAAGTGAAGAGCTACTAAGTTTATTGACCTTTATTTTCAAGTCCACTGGGGTCAATTGTCTTTCAAACCACTTAATCTGAATGATTAGAAAGCCCAGGGTGATGATAATATTTGGCTTATAGCATGAAGTAATAAAGGGCTTACAAGTGTGTTCAAATTAATTATTTTCACCCATATTCAAAGTCACAAGGGTCAAATATATTAAAAACTTAAAATAACTACTTCTGAATAGGCCAGTAAGATGCTTAGAGAGAGCAGTAACTATGAGACTAGTTCTAATGAATAGCATTCACCCATAATCCAGGTCACAGGGATAAAATGTGTTGAAATCTTTTAAACAGCTTTTAAGATTTTAAATCTAAATTACAATGGGGCCGTTATAGATGTTCCCCTTACCAACGGTGTTCGTAAATGATGAATGAGAAGTAATTGACATTATCTGAATTTAGACCAATCAGAAGAAACGATATGTTGTGATATTGCAATGGTAGAATACGCCAGTAAATTAAAGAAGGTTAGTGGCCAGCTATGATTGGGTCAGTCATTCACAAAACACCCACAGCCTAATAGAGGAATGTAGGAGACAAACAGAGAATGCCCCTAAGAAATTAAGTAATTGATACAGTTTGCCAAACAGGAAATACATCACACTAAACGGCCATTTCGTTCCCATCGGTGATGCTACAATGCAGGGGTCAAAAAAGTGGAATTCCAAATAAGTCTAAACGTTACTGCAACACTCACGGACTAAGAAATCCACCAGCTGAGTCGACCACCTTATATCTTGAAAGATGAATATGAGAAACACAATAAAATGGTCATGTGATTGCACGTGTATTTAGTAACATATATAGTATGCCAAAAAGGAATTATTACACTGCTACGTACAATACATGTTTCATCCTTTTAGGACTCACCTGTGATGCTAGGGGACAAAAATGATGCAAATCTTAATTTGTCTAAACTATTTTGAAACAGAAGGGGAGATACATAAAGCCCCTTAATGCTATGAATTAAAAGCATTGGAGGAGTATTAGTACTGCGCCCGTATTCATGAAACCGTTCTCATGTACAAGCATGGATTATGTACTCAAGCACGATTTCTTGTTTCAGTTATAGATTTTTAAAATAATCGTATTAGTCCCCCACAGGTTCCGGGGGGG